CAAATTAGTTTCTGTTACTCACACTGAACAAGTCCAGATCAGTTTCTTTGGACACAATAACACAATTGCCCAAATCAGTGTCTATTCTCTCCGACGATGCTTAATCCAACAGCAATGTCAATACTTCACGACTTTTTTAAATAGCACTAAAAGGCAGTGCACAAAAATCTATCGACACTCATTAGGAAGCTGTGGATTGTTTTTGACTGTTTATTTTCCCTTGGCATTGCGAGTGCTGGGACCAGTGAGAGTGCCAGATTTAGGACGTTGCCAGTCTGCTCTTTCCATTGTTGCAACGCTAGGCAAGCAGTCTTCTAAACCTAACCTACTCACTGACCTGATCTTGCGGCTTTGGACTCCCTCCCCACAGGCAGGCAGGTCGTCCACAGTGTTGATGGTACAAATGGACCAGGGCTCGGCCCTCCACTCGTATTGGCTGCATTCACTGTAGCATGGCAGAGCCTCATACACCTGTATGTACATACACACACATACACAGGAGGAAAAGGACACGTATAATAAACAATAGAAGGAAAGCACCTGAAAAACTAGACATGCATACAAATTAACTCATACACACAGTGACCCCACCTGCCCTCCACACACAAGCATGCTACAAAAGGAAGAGTTGGTTGTTACAATTACAGCAAATGTAGGAACACTTTTAGTTTTCACACCTAATGAGGTGTCTCTGTAGCAGAAACAGTATCTCACCTGGGTTTTCCTTTGGTAAAGATAGAAAAACACACCGCTTTGAGCTTTCAGGCTTAATTTCTTACATGTGGTAGCATTTCCCTTCATGTTTTGTTTATTTTTTTACCATCAAGCACTTGTGTATTCTTGAGATGTTTTGAAGTCTGCGCCTGAGTTTTATGCCAGTCGATGTTCTTTATATTTTAGAGCATAAATGAGGCTTAAACATAATTAAAAGTTGACAAAATAATACAAATTGTGATGACAGTCAGAGAAGCTAGAGAAAATGAAGGCTGTACTACAGAGAGGTGCTGAAAGACGTTTTATATAGAGCTATAGATGAAAAGTATTTTTTCCACACTAAAATAAACCTGCGCGTGAAATGGAGAGAACAGCATGGGGTGCGTAAAACGACAATGAGCTTGGCAACGGGCCCTTCAGCTGATGATGTAATTGGCTCGCTTTTGAGGCTATTCACTTTTCTCCACTCAGCCACTGAATCTGGCATGTCTGTTGAACCAAGGGAGCAGCCAGCACAATGCTCCTGTAAACACATGTTTACTCTCAATCTATGTAACTGTCTGCCACAGTTAAAGGTGCACTCTTGAGAACAATTTGTGGAGAAAGCTATGACAAGCTGTAATGGGTGTCACCGTGGTGTGTGCGCTCGCGAGTGTGCGTGTGCTGAGATAGAGACAGGGAATGAGTCTCGAGTATTCCCTCCCCTGCGGCCCACACAGATGCCTATTACACACGTCATCATCTCCCATCTGTCCCTGCAGATGCCCCTAGCTTGGTAAACTGGCAACTGTTCTTCTCACACATGCTCCGCTACTACTGCAGAAACACAGCACCAGCTGAAGGGCTAATTTTTATCACCCGAAGAGTGATTTTTAAGCCATTTTCCTCAATTGCTACCCTATTTATTCATCACCGATCCCAAACTTTTCAACCCGGGCTGGAGCGTCTCAGTTCAGGTTCACACAGGGAGTAAATTGCAGTTTAAAGCAGGTGCAGCGCAACAAAGAATAGGAACAGCCTCGCCTTTTTAGAGCGTATCGCTCATTCATATACATTCATACAGCACTCTGTTTTTTACTCCCCCCCCCCACATGATTTCACACCAATGGCTAATTTAGAGTCAGTCAATAACTTCACATGTATGTCTTTGGACTGTGGGAAGATGCTATAGTACCAATAGGAAACCCACAGAGGAACAGAAAGAACATGTAAACTCCACACACACAGGCCCCACATGACCGTGGGATTCAAATCAATCACTCTTGATATGAGGCTCCAATGCAAACCACTCCACCTTTTGAGTACAACTTTTGTCACACACTTCATTACAGGCGAAAGACAAACAGGCAGCTCTTTTATTCCTTTTAAAAGACTCCTAAAATCAATTTTTTTAAAGATTAACAATACAATAATATCATCTGACTCAATTTCTTTTTCGAACACTTTAAAAAACTGTTCACGATATAATGAAGCCCTGACATCTTGGCAGTGTGAATTTCTCCAGTTAATAGCAGATGATGTATCCTCTAAATGCACTTCGGATAAATTACTTCCGTTCGTTTTGCACTCGCACCAATCAAACTATTGTTCTTGCTCTCGGCCGAAGGGCTAGAAAGGTCAGAAGTATATGTGACTTGGACAGATCCGGCATGCATTCTGTCTTCATTAGCTAAAGCAGAGTATACGTACAGAATGAATAGCACTGACCTGAGCCTGCGTGGATGTCCATATTAGCAGTGCATGACAAGCCAGAAGTTGGGGCAGGGGAGAGAAGAACAATGATATGATCATTAGTATAGATTTTGCCTGCAGTGACAGAAATGTATAGTTCTGCGTAAATTTGAAAAACTGCATTCTCCTCTGTGTTTCATTAATGAGGGTAAAGGATGATTAGGTACTTTATCATCTACAGTGAATCTAGGCGTTCCGGATAGTTTGCCAAACTGAATGACTAAAAATGCTGAGAGAGTTTTTAAAATGGTGCAGTTGGTTGTAACAGCTGTGCTCTGGCCAGACCTGCAGCTGAAGGCAACTCCAAGGAATTAATTTGTCTGGAGATGGTGAGCGGGAAGTCCGCGTGAATAAGCATATGCTCAGAGAGGCTGTGTGCTCTGTATCTAAACAAGGTTACTGAATATAAAGTGTTATCTCACTGACAAGTTTCTGTTTGGGTAATTCTGAATGAGTTTAATTAAAACATTCGAATAAAATACACAGCTTTAGATTTAAACATATAGTATATTCATTCAAAATGAATATTTACTAGACTTGTGATGCTTTTTTAAGCCAAATGATTCTTGAGATGGCAAATGTACCACTGCACAGTCATGGTACAAAGATTATATATTGTACCTTCTTTCAGTTATATGGCTTTACATATTAAAAAAAATAACAGAAGTTGGTTGATCAGACAAGGTCTTAAAATTTGGTAAAAGCAACCTCAAATGAAGAGCAACACATGTCATATTACGCAGTGTCATTACTTATTAAACAAAAACTAAAATGCAATGTCTGAAAAACTATGTACACCCTTACTGCTTCCATTGGAAGGAGGTAAGAAGTAGTCAGATGTTGTTAATCAAATGCACTTGATTACTTGAGCATCAGCCCACGCAAACACGTCTATATAAGCGGACATTTTGCACTTTGCTGGTCTGAAGCATTCAGGTGTGTGTTAACACCGTGCCAAGGAGGAAAGACATCAGCAATAATCTTAAAGAAGCATTTGTTGCTGCCCATCAATTTGAGAACTGTTGTAAGGACATTCAAACAATTTGTCCATCCTCCCACAGTGTCAACGACAACTCACAAGTAGAAAACATTCAAGACAGCTGCCAGACTTCCTAGGAGTGGATGTCCCATCAAGTCCACTTCAAGTCAGGCTATGTGCCATAAAAGCAGAAATTGTGGCAATTTGCTGCCCTGGGGCATTCAGATGTGCCATAACACAATGCCACAATCTTTCCAGGAATCTCAAATTCACCGAAAGGTCAGACTGTGAAATGTTGAGAGGAACCGCAAAAAACCAAAGCGCTACATCTCAGACTGTAGAGGCCTCAGTCAGCATTAAATGTCCGTGACAGTACAATTATAAAAAGACTGAGAAAGTAGGGCTTGTTTGTGAGTGTTGTCATGAGAAATCCTCTTTTCTCTAAAAAGAACAAGGCTTAGCTTTGCAAAGTTGCATCAGAACAAACCTCAAGACTTCTGGAATAATGTCTTTAGCCATTATGCACACAGCATCGCAACATAAAACACCCCACACTAGCCGTCAAGCACAGTGGTGAAGGCGTGACATTTGGTCATGTTTTGCAGCCACAGAACCTGAGTACGTTGCGTTCATTGACCCAACCGTGATCTCCTTATTTACCAAAGTATTCTATTCTACAGTCAAATGAGAGCTTATCTGTATGACAGCTAAGTCTTGGCTGGGTTATGTAACAGGACAATGATCCCAAGCATACCACCAAATCCACACCGGAATGACTGAAAAACAAATTAATCAAGGTCTTGCAGTAGCTCAGTCAAAGTCCAGACCTCAACTTCATAGAAATGCTGTTGTGGAACCTTGAGCTTTGCAAAAATGAAAGCCCACAAGCCTCAATGAACTGAAAGAAAGGTATAAAGAAGAATGGGCCAAAATGTGAGAAATTGACAAAATCACAGAAAATGACTACATGCTATTGCTGCTAAAGGTTCTTCTAAAAGCTTCTGCATCATAGGGTGCACTTAGTTTGTTTTCCTTTTGGTAAATAAGTAAAGAAAAGATGGAAACTGTTGTGTGTTATTTTATACCTGAAGCTCTTAAGGCTCAGAAGGGCTCCCCCCCCGATTATCATATACGTAAAACCTTGGAATTGAAAAAGGTTTAATTTCTTTTGACTGTATATTCTTGTGCTGATAAATTCCCATTAATGCCAATGCAGCAAGTTTTTCCTTGTCATTTTGAATCATTCTTTCATTTATGCCTTTTTCCCACTTGAATTGCATCAGAATAAGTAAGAATATTTAGCAGTGAATATAAAGTCCCATATTTACAGAGGAAAAAACAATCTGCTTGCAAGACATGGAAATAAAACTCCCTGGCTTTGCTAGATGCTAATTTGCACATGGCTCCTGCCCAAAAAACAAATACACACATACCTACTGTACTCTAGAATTTTACCCAGTGATGCGCAAGTGCACATAAAAAGACAACACACCTATACACAATCAGATAGATAAAAGACCAACACAAAAGGACTTGAAGCACCAGCAGGCCCTTCTGCAGGGATGGCATTTTATTGTAAACAGAGAGAAAATGGAACACGAAGCCTTGATGCTGAGCAATCTATTCTATAAATCTCTTTCATAGTGTCACTGTGTGCCTCCAACTTCAAATAGACTCTGCAATTATTGTCAGTAGGCCCATGGATGAGCTAAAAAACAATGGCACCACTGAGAAACAGAGTCGGATCTATTCTGGGGTGATGATGACCTCTAAAATACACTCATGAGATGATAACTTAAAATGTGCCAAAATACAGTATGATAGAGCCTTGCTTTTGAAGACGTCAATTTGGGATTTTTCAGAAGAGAAACACACTACTGCTGAATGAAAATACAAACAAACTGATTTAAGATGACAGAAGATGAAGCTGGGATAGGAAAAGAACAGAACCAGTGGTGGCAAAAGTACAGACTTCCTAGAAGTACAGATACCTGGTTAAAAATACTCCAGTAATAGTTGAAGTGCTGAAGCAAGTTTTTTACTCAAGTTAAAGGAGAAAAGTACAGGCTGTTAAATGTACTCAAAGAAAGTAAAAAGTTACTCTTTGAAGTATGATTCTACTACATGTTTTTGTGCAAAGGCAACTTAACCTTGTGCTATTTAAATAAATAACTAGTTTCTGTTGTCTACATTAACTCAACACCTAAACAGTAAAATGAGTGAGGAGATACCGGGGGGATTCAGCAAGTGAGCTTCAGTAGGTTTTCTTATGTGATCTGCAGACCTGCTGCTCTTCGTGGATTTACACAACTGAATTCAACAAGATGTCAGTGCTTTCACAAGCTATGGTGGCTGATGTTGATCCCCCAACATTGACACTATGCTGTTTATACTGTTTTTACACTAGACAGACTTATAACACTTTAATAAATTAATAGATAGATTAATAAACTGAATTCTGAATTATACTGAGTCACAGCTGTGAATGTACTCTTTCAACACACTAGCCATGTATAGTAGCCACAATAGAAGAGCATTGTTTAAGCATTGTTTAAACCACTGTAGTTGTTTTATGTTGCGAGCATCACAAAAGCCGAGACCTGACCGTAGCTGCACTTAATTTTAACAGTTGGTCACTGACCATTGAGTTGGTTCTTATCATCCTCACCCTCTCTCTCTCATAACTGTCTTCCAATTAGTTTTCTTACTATCAAACACTTTCATGAACCAAAGCCCTTACAAGATTTACAGTCTGTCTAACATCCCCTTTGGACCCACTGCTGTGTTGGCTCTACTGCAGGGCAACGCCGTGACTTTCTGTAATTACACAAATTGATTGGCAATCATGCTTTGAAATAATCTCCTTTTCTCATTTATTTTGTAATCTATTACAAGAACCTAGCTCACCAAGACAGGAATACATTAGCAGAGACATTTTGCAAGTACTTAACCTTGCACCATAATAATAGATGTGGTCAAATATCTTTTTCCACATACAAGAGCCTCAGCATCCGCCCTTGTCTTTTGCAATTTATATCACTAGTGTATGTGAAGAAATTCTGTTTCAAATAAAAGAGTCCAACTGTAAACACTTGTGAAGCTATACAGTGAGCTAAAAAGGACAAGTCCACACTAACTGTGGTGTTTAACCTTATCTATAACTTCTGCATATTTACAAAACTGGGAATATGTCTAAAAATTCACGTGATATGAGAATATGTGTATGTATATGGGAAATTTGACAAATATTTTGCAGACAGTAACAAAAATAGATGTGCATAAGCACCAGTCTCAGAGATCCCACAGATGTGGGAGCAATGGCCATTTTTTCAGGACTTGTGGTCTGGCCAGCTGATGTCAGAACAAAGACCCATCCCCGTTTTGTCTGGCGGTCGTGGCATACAAATTTTTAAAAAGAGGTTGGTCAGGGGTTTTGAGGTTTTATTCCAT